AAGTCTTCCCTTAGCCCAACCAGCAATACAAGCCTGGAGAGTGTTGCTAAGTTGTAAATAATGACAAGCCAATGGAGTGATACCAGTAAGCACTGCATCTCACACCGCTGCTAGCATGGGCTCCGTGGTGAAGGAATGAAGTTCTCTTTATGGGTGAGCAACAAATTCTCATTTCTGCCTTTAGAAGTAATTCCCTAACACTTATTTTGCGTTTTACTGATTCCTTATTTTAAAAGAAGTTTCTGTTTCCTCAGCTAAATTATTCCTTGGAAAAAGAAAGCCCTATGCAGGGAGTTTGAATTTGCAAGGCTGAACTGTGATTATATGTAAACAAAAATACTACATGTAATGATGGGTGTGTGGAAAACTCCCCTGGAACCAGCCTGTTCCTCCTTCAAACCCCTTAGTAAGATACAGCCCCCACAACAGGGCATGCAATTTATGATGGCAAGGAGTAAGGGAAGGATAAAATTTCCACTTCAGCCATCTTTCACTGTTATTGCTTTTAATTGTTTTGACAGGGCACATTAAAAAAAAATTCTTCTTTTTACCCTCTGTTATTTTATACTTTCCTTAGACAGCAGGTCCTCTGAGCTAAAAAACACATCACGCACATTATATAGCACCAAACTTACGGCAAATCTGATCACAGCAGAGACCCGTGAAGAGTCTCCAATACAAACACACATACATCCCCTTTTACATTTAGTTTCTTGACGAGAAAATTCCCATTAAGCAGAAACAAATACCATTTATGGCTCAACCCTAGAAGGCTGCACAGTCCCCACCAAACCGAGAGCAAATATTCTGCATAACCTACCCTGATTCCCAAACAAGTATATGCTGAAAAAGCGCAACGCTTTTTCCTATTATATTCGTACCGGGCATAACCGATATGCAGTACTGTGCCTCAGGTGGAAAGGCAGCACGGAGGAGCGAGAGGGGGTTAGGACTACATTTCAGGAAAGCGGAGTGCAGGAGGGGCGGCAGCCGCGGTGCATGCGGAGGAGCGGTGGCGAGCGCGGGGTGCGCTGGGTGCCTGAGCATGGCCGACGCTGGCACTGCTGTGCCCACAGCCCGGCCACGCGAATTTTACCTTGGAGTAAAGGGAGAAGCGGGAAGGAGACGAGCTTTCAGGTACTCCCCTTTGGTGACAAGCTCTTAGCAGTATTGCAAAAGATACACAATCAGCTTTTATAGGAAAACAACCACTGAACCCCAATTCGGTTTAGTTGTGGCCACATCAAGATAGCAGATTTTCTGTTTAAAGGCAGAATTCTTTCTCCTTTGCCTACACAGGAGCTATGCTTAACAGGAGCAATACTGAAAACGGAGCAAATCCAACTGTGGCATTGTGCAGTAATTGCACAGTAATAAAGACAGAGCATAAAGTGAAACTCTATTTAACCAGTTCATCCAGATACTGTCATCTGGCATTCACTCTGGGTCTCCAACTTTTAACTTTTACTTGAAAATTACAGTTAAGGTTTGTTTAAAAAAAATTAAGTAGAGAACACCGTTCCTTTTTAAAAGAAAAATATTTAATTTTTAATATTTTTAATACTTAGTATTTTTCTTCTAAAGCTTTAGAAAAACAGTATTATGAATATACTGTTTCTGCAAGGCAATCCCACTCCTCCAAACACTTACACAACAGGGCTCCAATTTCACTTGAAGTGTTTGCAAAATTAAGACCCTGAAAGCCAAGGGTGCTAACATAATACACTTGTTTTATAGAACTAGAGAGAAAGAAATCTTGTACAGATGCAAGAAAGCTTCCTCAAAATACAACCCCAACCTCCCTTTACTTCAAAATAAATATATTCACATTATTTTTAAAGGTAAGTTGTGACAACCTTGTTGATTAGTGCAATTCATATGGCAGCATTCACTTTTCTCTAGCTCTCTACTGCATACTGAAAATAAGGCAATTAAATGAGAAAATTAATTCCATTAATTAAAAATGTTCAGTCTCAAGCAAGACAGAATGATCTGAGTGAGAATTATAGCTGTATAAATTTTCATAAAACAAAATGCTTTCCTTGACACATACTTTCCTTTAGGAAGGATAAATTTTGCACCACAAACCAATGATAATGCTATTTTAACAGTATCATAAAGCTGGAGAGAGATATGAAAAGGTCCGTTTTATCTTTTAAAGAGAAACCCCCTGATGTATATAGGAAAATTTACAAGTAAAATACCACTCTTCCCACAAATTCCTTACTGGTGAACCCGAGTGAAAACTCTGGTCAAGTCAGGAAAGAAAATCATTAAACTTAGCTGAATCCATAAAGCACCGTAGCTGGAGTTTCAATACAGATCATTTTATAGTAAAATTAAAATAGAAGCCCTTTTTAATTATATAAAGTGTGCACATTATTACTGAGGAGAGGAATACATGCTTTCCTCAAGAACCATAAAATTGGCTGCTGGGAATTAGACTTCAGCTGCAATTATTATATGGTCCTATAAAGGATATTGAAAGTCTGATAAAATTGCACCCTTGTCATGTAACAGTGATGCTTACTGCTAAATAACCACTCTGCAGCATTCCAGTCATAGCTTTCTCAAAACATCATAGCTCCCTTCTCACACCGAAAAGAAAACACAGCAGGATTTTGGAGCTAAAAGTATACCTAAATATTTGAAATACCAAATGGACAGGTCAAAAGATATGTAAAGCCACACAGAGGCAAAACAACACATGCAATAAATGAATGCTGATGGTCTTTTATAAGGGAAAGCCCTCCACGGATACGTACCCAACGTAAAAGACTACATTCAATGAGAAGGAAATGAAAAAAAAAATATACAATGAAGGAAGCCCCTAACTCCATATGCCTAACTCAGCCCTACCAAGTCGTGATGAACACCAGTGCCATACATTCCTAATGGCTGTTTTCCTTCTTGTTGCAGTATGTGTTGTAAACAGTGAGTATTTGTTACGCCTCCATACAGCTACAGGAGACTGGCTGGATTTCTGCTTGAGAACCTGGAATTTGCTTTTAGCAACATCGGTATGCTCCTCGTGTGCCCCTCAGGCCTGCAGATATAGCACGAGACTAAAACCTGTAGATATTTCTAATCCCACAGACTCCATCGCACTCACAACTTAGCCAGGCTGCAATTTTTACATGTAATAAGAATATCAAAGAAATATTTCTCTGACACATAACATAAGGCACGCGCAGGGGAAGGCTGGACAAGAGAGAGATTGTGGCATGTGGAAGAAGGTGTGTAAATTTTGCTCTTGCAAATGAAGGAAAGGAGAAAACTCTTTCTCCTACAAAGAAGTACTGACAAAGTCGTTCACCATTTAGATCCTACAGCATGGGTGGGATATATGTCCACCCTTCTCCATAAGGCTTTGGTCTGACTCTGCTGTTCAAATCCCAGCACCTGTGATAATGCCAAGCTTCAGAAAAAAGCCTCTGCACAAGAGCATGAAAAGGATCCCACACAGCTCTTGTTTGACACAACTACTCAGTTGTGAAAAAAACCAGACCATTAGAAATCTAACCTACTCGCCCCTCGAATTATGGCAGGGAACAAGCACCCTGGGCTGCGTTAGCATGGAGATGGAGGGGGCTACAGCTTCGCTCCTTAGCACTGAATGGTGGACTTGCAGGCTGCAGCTATGTGGGGTAGTTTTCACAGAGGGGTTTCCTTTACAAAACTGAGCTGTGAGAGCCCATCCCATGCTCATGCTGCTCACGCCAGTGCAAACTGCCCGCACCCTGCAAGCAACGGCCAGGAGCCTCTCCAAGTCATCTGCTGCTTCCCATGGCACGAGCAGACGTGCAAAGGAAGCTGTTCACCTATGGAACGTTACTAAGACTATGAGCAGGAAACAAGTAAATGAAAACTCACAGACCATAGCTGATTAACCTAAAAAACAACATTTCTGAGGCAATTGTGGTCTAGGATGAGCATCGTAAGTCCCTGCTGCACCTCTCCACGTATGCTGCACTTAACACAGCAGGAACTGGCCACTGGGCACTACTCAACTATAAATGTGAAAGCATAAAAAAAATATCTGTTAGCTCTGACTGAGCATCTGAAAAACACTGACCTTTTAACCAGTTAAGCTGTAAACAAAACATTAAAAAAAAAAATTTTATTTGAAGCGTGCATGGAATTGTTCTTTAAAAGGTAAAGCAAGTAAAGACTAGGGTGTACTTTGCAGTGAGGCCTTAAAAGCCCTTACAAGTATTAATTATACCTCAAAACCTCCCTTGAGGTAAGTATTTTGAATATTATATATAATGTCAACATTTTATAAAAGTATAAAATCATACACACACCCTGTCATATGCCAACAGCTCAGTCAGGCCAGAATTTGGAAGTGGAGACTTGGACTCCTAACTCCCTCTCATCTTTGGGTAGAGTCGCAAAAAGAAAAATCTGTTCAGCCAGTATTTATCTACCATTGGGGAAAACAAAAAAAATCAACTCCCAAAATGTAAAAAGAAACCAACTGGAAACTTCTGATGCCAAGCATAAAGGAAAGTTGAAAACACATACAATAAAGGCCTTTGAATAAAATTTATGATCACACTTACACTGAACAGAAGTGAAACTTGGTAATGATTTACTTTTCAGTAAGGCTTTTTTTTTTTTTTGAAAGGTATGAAAAATTTTCTCTGTCCTTTAAAAGTACAAATATTGCTGCTTCTTGATGAAGCTTCAAGATGTATCTTTTTTGTTAGAAATGTCTGAACCCTCTAATAAACAAATTACTGAGAATCACACAATATTGTAGTAATATAAAATGATTCAAACAAACATTAAAACGTAAGCGTAATGAACAGTTTTAAGGGAAGTCATGAAATGTGCCTTAGTTATAGTTCTTTCCAGTAGAAATAATACTGGAGCGTATTAGTTTCAGAATAAAGCCATTGCTCATATTTACCTTATCAAGGGTAGAAAAAATGCCCAATAGTATTCACATGAACATAAGCCATCAGTTTTTCAGAATAAGGAAATAATTTGCTTACCTGGAACATCAATTAATCTCTTATAAACATTCAAGAAGGCTGCCTCTGCTTCTTTGCTTCTTTTACCCAATGCGTCAATCTAAAAGAGGTGATGAGAAAAGAAGGCTTTTAGACTTGTTCCAATACAACTCTTACACTCACAGCTATAAAAATAGATGAATATTTTTCATATAAAACTAGTTAATACATAAAAAGAGAACTCGAGTCTCCTGCATACAGCTCCTATAGAAGCAGCCTTGTAAGAATATTTCTGGTACATTTCTACTGAGTATAATTTAAAGTCCTGTTTCAGCACAATAACAAGCATCAATATTTTTATGAACGTTACTGTCTATTGAGATTTTTACTTTAAATCTTTATAAAAAGCATGGTATTTGCCAGACAGGTTCTCTCCTCAACAACTGTTTTCTTTTACCACTTATTAAGATCTAATACAACAAATGGGAACCACGTGCACTGCTGATGTCACACTCTGCCTTTACTGTGGCAAATACATTTTTCTAATATTTCCACTAAGCCTATGAGAGGATGAAAAGATGTACTTGTTGAGTACCCTGTTATACTTAATACCAAACAACTGTAAGTCTTCTACATGCAAATAAGCTTTCTAATAAAGCTCAGGCACAGACCCATAGAGTCTATACTGTCTTGCACTCATGAGCTCAAGCCATGCTCCTCTGACTAGCTTCTCTTCGTATTTTGTAATACACACAATACTAATCTAAGAAGCTGTCTGCCCAGGTGAAGGAAAATACTACCTCACGCAATCTGTTATTTTCATCTAAATCTGTGTTTTCATCTAAAAGTTCATTTTAGAAGGAAATGCAGCGTTACAGCTCTGAGAATAAAATACTTCTTCCACAACAACTTTTTTTGGTAAACGTGTATTTTCCTAATGTACTAGAAAACAGGATTCACAATTACTAAATATTGACAAAAAACCAACCAAACCAACCCAAGACCAGGTCCACTGAATTAATACTCCAAAGCAGAAAGAGACAGAAAGGGAAACAGGAAAGCCTGACACAGTTCTGCAGGAGCTTACCAAAATCGGGAAACTAGAAGTATGGAGATTATCGTTCCCATATTTTAATAAAAAGCAAGGAAGGATCTGAAGAACTACGGATACAAAGGCCTGATATCAGTTCTTCTGTGTATGTGAAAAGCAGTTAATATTATGAAACCATTTAAAGGTGTGTACATCAACATGTACTAAAAAAGGAAGGTCCTGTCTGAAAAACGTCCTTGAATTCTTTCACTACGTTATTGATTTGGTAGATAAGGCAGAAACAATGGACAGCGTTTACTGTATCTGTATTTCAGGGAAGTATCTGATATTTTATTACATGGGAGGGAGATTTGCAGAATTAGAAAGCGTGCTACAAACCCGCCGGGCCACGGTGGCTTGCAGGGCGCTCCGGCACAGGAAGCAGAGGGTGCCAGGGAAAGGAAGCGGCGCAGGGAGGAGGAGAGATAAGCAGGAGGGTGCTGCGGGGTCAGATTTGGTGCCACTTCTGTTTACTTTGTACGAAAATGGCTTTGCGAAGGGAAGGATTTTGGGGGGGGGGGGGGGGAAAAAAAAAACCCCACAATTGAGGATCCACGTGACTTGTATAGATTAGTCTTATGGCTGATAAGTGACTTGTAGAGATCATTACGGAGAGGATTAAGGCCAGAAAACGAAAGGACAAGGACAACTGTAGAAATTACACAGAAGCACAATGCACAACGTATAAACCAAGAAAAGACTCTGAGGGAAGGTGTCAAGAAGGAAAACAAGGACACTGAAAGCATCTGCACAGCGTCTGGCAGCAGCAATGAAATCTTGAGAGATACGGCGGGAGGCTGTAAAGAGACGAGTTACTGTAACACAATACAAGACTGTATTTACAGAAACAAACCAAATTCCTATTTTGTTTACATCCCCCCCAAAATCTGGATTAATTTAGGTAGCTTGGAGGTGTAGCATAACTGAAACCTGACTTATTTGCAACTTATTCTTATCAATTTAAAAAAAAAAAAAGTATTGGAAAGATGATAAACAAGCAGCAGAGGCCAAAATGATGGAGGACGTGGAGAGCAGATATAAATTCTCAAGAAATCCTGGCCATACTTGTCTTTTAGATTTTACCAAGAAAGGCTATGGAAAGGCACTGGAATCTCACAGGGCATATGACGTGCTGGAGAGCAAGGGATTGATGGTTGTGAATAACCCATTTATTAATTTGAATTCAAGCAATCACAGATGGACTGACGCTCATTAGGGAATGAGAACATAAGTAATTCGGTTAGAACATTTTCACACAAAGAGTATTTGAAATTAGAATATGGAACAAACTGCCAAAGGCAGAGAGGCACCGGGTAGTGTAAATCAATGCTTGGGAGTATCAGACACTGCTTGTGAACGGGCGAGAAAGGAGGGGGCAGCCATCAGAAAGACTTTTGCAGTTGAGATATTTCATGGGTACATAAAGACAGACTTTGAAGGCCAAAGCACACCATATGTTAGATTTCTGGACTTCAACATTCCCACATACAATTTTCTCTTGCTGCTGCTCAGCAGAGTACAGCCAAATTTAAATTACTATTATTAAATACAATTAGCATTACAGAACTGATTCTGTACCGTATTTTGAAAAACTCATTTGCCCCTTTTATGAAAACCAAAGCATTTTAAATGCTTGCATTTCTGTGAAATAACAGGATGGATTTGTTTTCCTATTACAGTTTTTTTCACATTTTAATAAAGGGCATTTGTACTTATATTCTCTCTAAGTATTACAAAAGGTATGGTTTATTCACTCCTTACCAGTTATATAGTGACTGAAATATAAAACAGAATTGAAACAATATCTTCCAAGGAGATCAGAGAGTTTCTGACGGAAGCAGTTTGTAAATCACAGGAACTTTAGAAAGATTTTTTTTTAATGTTTTTAGTTGTTAAAAAAATCAATCAATCTGTCCGGTTTACAGTTCTATTAAAAATGAGCACCACAACTATTTTTTATTTTAAAATAAAATTCAGAAAAAGCACCATGACAACTTTAACTGGAATAAAAAAATAATTAAGTATGCCAGCTTCCAGCTGCATAAGGAAATAAGGAAATACGGGATGAAAATGACGTCAAAAATAGCAAAATATAAATGAAGTCCAGAAACAGAGGAGACAGAGCACTGAAATGACATGGAGGGAAGTATTGGGAAGTTCACTGAAAATTTTTCAAATCAAAGTAAAATTAATTCGGGAGCCAACAAGGATGAGCTACAATCAGCTCACATTAAAACAGTTGAACTACATTATAAAACTCTTGCTGAACATTTTTATTTGACTCTAAAAACTTCAGGGACCACGAAAGAAGTCAACTTATAATTACACTAGCGTAGTCTTGACATGAGCTTAGCTCCAAATCTTAATTTATCCAAACCAGGCCCCATTATGTCTTCTCTGACTAGAAAGAAACAACAGTGACCTCTGTATTCCCCACCACCCCCATAAACATATGTTCACTTTTAAGTTTTGGCATACTATTTGTCTTGATAATACCACTGGCGCTATACTGAGATAACAGAAATGAGACACTAGGAATCCTCCCTTCTTAGCACACTCTTCATCTTTAAAATATCACTGGAGCTATATGGAGGGAGCCACAGCGAGACACCAGTTTGAGAGCAGTCCTCCCTTTATCTACCTTATTTTTCCAGTCAAGTGCTTTCGTGAGTTGTTGCTCAGGGTACCAAGTTCCTCCCGGAGGCTGAATGACACCCTTCCCCTCCATAATAATCTCTCTCCAACTTGCCCGTGAAGACCTCCTTGGTCTGCTCCCATTCTCCATTGCCAGAATGACACCTGGTTGCCCGACACTGCTGGCATGCTACTCCAGTAGCATGGATAACCTATTTTAGGAATGCTTGGTTACAGTCTAATATCTATTACACCTGGCTACAGTCAAAATATTGCCAATGAAATCAGCGGTTTTATCTCCACATTTAGGTAAGCACCACAAATCTGGCCACCTATGTCAGGAAAGATGCTGAATGTAGTTTTATCTGAACATTGCCTCTTTCCTTTTCAGCTATGTCCAGTCAAGTTCAAAAACATAAAAGTAAAGTCTGTGGCTTTATTTTGGAATCTGTCACTCTTTATGTACTAAGAAATTTCAACATTAATTAAAGTCTGATGTCTACTGCCCCACAAATCACCTGGATTCTGTATTTGGGTTTGCAGAAGTGGGATGCTCTTCTGTGCTGTACTGTATTTGGTATTGGCTTACCCACTGCAGTCAGACAGAAGGCTGCACAATTGCATTTCTGAATTTAAAGATGAAACAGGAAGATAAAGCTCTTCGCAAGGAAGCTGGGACTGTCAGGTGCTAGCACATTCTGCGTCAACACTTGAATTCTCTGAACTTACAGTATCAGCACATTAACACATTTGCAGACCATGAGACCAGCACACGGCCACGATGTGTTGCTCCTGACAGGTCGACTTGGATCATTCAGCACTGCTGTGTTTTTCTTTTGTTTTCAGACAACTCGGCATCCCAAAGACAACTCCTTAGTGAAGGGATCACATTGCTTTCTGTGTCTGTATGGCATTACCAAAGTATTGCTGATTTACTTGTGGTACAATTAACCGCATATCACATGTCTCAAACACAAGTATACTGAACATGAATTTTGTAGGCCTAACTCTTCTACTTATCCTCATTGCTCTTCAGTTGCAATTCTCACTCTCATTGACCACCTTAACATGAAAGGTATGTCTTTTACTGTCCTGTACCCAATCTGGAACTAACTTATCAAGTAAAAATAAATTACTTAAAACAGAAGTTATTTTTCTGTTCTGATTTTTAATAAATAGATGCCTTAACGAAATACCCATCCCCCTTCATCCGCACAGCTCCCTTACACATCTTTTGTCATATTGTTTTGCATCACAAAGTTTTTCCATTTGTCTTCAATTACTTCAAGCTACCAAAATGCCATTAAGAATTGTAAGAAACATATTAAACAAAGGGAAAAGCATGAGAACAACTCATTAATGCACCATTATTTTAAGCCGTGCTATATTCTTGAATA